TGGGGTATTAGAACGATAGATCTATCAATTGTTCAATCTAATTAGTATGGTGTATTAGATTATGTTTCGTAGTGCCTATTATATTGCTATCTCAAACAGCCTTCAACTTGCCAAAATATAATTATCAGGATTACAAATAAATAGATACTAGATATCTGACCAACAATTGTTTGAAAAGTTTAATATCTTGAATATAAATATCTATACCTTAAACCTTAATATACTATAATACAACTAGATTCGTATTATAAAAAAATAACACCTTTATTATTTGAATCAGATTCTGATCCACAAATTGATTATTTTCAAATAAAGGATAGTATAAAAAGTAAATATCTAATTATTTTATTTTATTTTTTTAGTATTAATTTACTTTAATTTTATTTCAGACGAAGTGGAAGAAATATCATCTTGTATTTCATATCCAGACGATAGATTATATCCTGCATTTGACAAAAGTAAAAAATAATATTTTAAATGTTTAACATTTTTTTGTGTTTTTATTAAATATTTTTTATGTTTTAGATGTTGCTATGAAAACTTATTTTAACAAAACATATTATCCTATTAACAATAACTCTGACGTACAACGTAAGTTTCCATAGTTTTATTTGAGTCATTAAAATATATTCTATAATAATTATTATTACATATTCTCTATTCATGATAAGAAACATATTCCGAGGTAACTCGTGATCAGAGCTTGACTTCACTATAAAGCAGGCATATATACAGTTTGGCAACGTTTAACTGCCGAATACATCCTGAATAGAGAATAGTTTTGAAAATATATTTTTACTATTGTATAATTTTCAAATTTTAGCATTAAATACATTTGAGAAAATTAATGAAGGACCATCAGGTTTATATAATTGCGTTAAAACTGCCCATGGCTCTAATCAGAGTAAAATAATTTCACAATATAACAGAAAAACCAGTAAATCATTGAAAGTCACAGGTATTTATTTTTTTAATATTGTATTAATAATTAATTATAACTATAGTTTCTGCAATATAAATGCAGTAGACTCTCGGTAATATGACTGTGTTATAATCCGCTACGCGACGACCAGTAATTCGGCAATATTTTATTTTTATTATTTCTTTATAATTTCCATTTAATTATTATCGTAAACGATAAGACTAACGAATTCAATCCGAATAAACCAATTAGTTATTTTATTTTTATTCTTTTGACGTGTTGTGTATATGTATTGTGTATCGGTTAGTTATTAGATGTTAAATTTTAATGTCACTAGAAAGAAAGCGAAATCATAAAACTTTAACTTAAGTCAAGAAACTAATTAGTTAAAACCTTTTTTTTAGACCTGTCCCACTCAAAGATTATTAAACCTGTCACTTCAAAAGATTATTTAACACATTTATTTTTTTTGTTTTTCCTTTTTATTTTGAAAAGTACTGGGAATTTTTTACCGTTGCACCCCCCCCCCCCATCCTATTATAACTACATGCTTACAGAAACCACTGTAGTAACCCGTCGCTCTCACTTGATTGGTTACTGCACACTTCTTTAACGACGAATGCACGTACACGTCGTCGCAATGAATCGGAGGATGGTGGTTGAAGGGAAGGTAGAATAAATAGTTTAACACAAAATGTAGTTAATTATAGATATATGTTTATTAACATTAAACTAATATAATAGTTAACTTTAAGTTAGTTAAAATTTGTCGACAGAATAATAATTTAGACGAGTTGTGTATATGTATTGTGTTACGGTTAGTTATTAGATGTTAAATTTTAATGTCACTAGAAAGAAAGCGAAATCATAAAACTTTAACTTAAGTCAAGAAACTAATTAGTTAAAACCTTTTTTTTTAGACCTGTCCCAATCAAAGATTATTAAACCTGTCACTTCAAACGATTATTTAACCCCATTATTAATTATTATGTTTGTGTTAACTTTATGTTTAAATAAAATAAATTTATGTTTTTCAATAGCTAAAACATGCTTATTTTTGTGAACCTCCATTAATCCGGCAGTTCTCTGTTCATCTATCTTTTGTATTACCAAGATTCTAATGTACTAACTAATTTTTAATTTATTGCAATGTCATGAAATTAGAAGTACTAATTTATACAGCTAATTAATACTATTCTATTTGACTTATATTTTATGTAAATCAAGAAACTTTTAAGCATTCCCCCGCCAAACCCCAACAATTATAAAAATTAATCATTATTGTAAACCTAATAAATTATTTACTTTGCTCAAAATCTAAAATAATTAATGACCAAACCTATTATATGTGTATTTATAGGTCCGACAACAAGTCTGCAAATAAATTCTAAGGGTGATGAATTTATTATAGTTCCTGAATCATTGATAAGACAACTAAAAAACGAAATAGAAATTGAAAAAAAAAAATCACAAGGTAGTAAGTTAGTTTTGTTTATATTACATTACATTTTGATTTTTAATTTATTTTATTCTATAAAGTATATTATATGTCATAATGAATATTTATTATTTAGATATTGTTAAAAATAGCTTAATGAGTATTTTTGATGAACCCAAATAGACAATTTTAGTTGAAAATTATGATAATATTAACAATATTTTAATTATCGTTTTAGATTTTAACAATTCAACTACAATTTCAGTGGAAAATATCGATTTAGATTTGGACGATTCAACTTCATTTTCAGAGGAAATTATCGATTTAGATTCTGACGATTCATCTACAACTTCAGAGGAAATTATCGATTTAGATTCTGACGATTCATCTACAATTTCAGAGGAAATTATAAATCTAAGTAACATACAGACTTTCAATTGTGATAATAGTAGTTCCGGTTAATAATTATTTTATGGATTTAAAGAAATACAACATTTGTTTTATATAAAATATTATTTAGTAAAAAAAAAAAATATTTTCATTTTTAGTTTAATCTATAGAAAATCAGTATAATTCTGAAAAAAATATCACTTTCCATCTTTCCCTAGATCGGATTGAACCTTATCAGTATTCTCATACATTAGTTAAACATGAGATAAAATTTGTCCCAGATCTTAATTCCAAATGCTATTGTAAAAATTTTAGAAGTTTCAACAAAGATGTTAAAACAATAAAACAATAACAAGATGTCAACAATATTGCGTGAAAAACATTTAGAAGCTAATATTTTAAATATGCTTATTACCAAAGAGCACAAAAATATCGTTCAAGCAAGCAAACATATGCCAAACTTTAATTCAATTTCAACTAATAAAAAATATGAAAAATGCATTGATTTAAAAGAGAATCATCACATTAAACCAGGTTTTTAATATTAATTAATAAATAAATATAATTTCTCTACACTATTTAGTTTTATTTATGCCTAGGCATAACATTTATAGCAGTTGACTCATGGGGACTCATTAACTTCAATTATACGAGTATATAAATATTTTACTGATCACAAATAAAAATGTAGAATAAAATATGGGAAACAAGTTATGAAAAAAAAATTAGCACAGTCAATCGATTTTATTCACTTATATCTTACTTGTTTTAATAATGAATTGAAAAAAATTAATAAATCCTAGAAGTCTTTTTTTTAAAAATGTTTATACACCAACAACTAACATTTTTATTTTTTAGCTTAATGATACACAAAAGTTATACAAAATTGCATCAGTTTTAAAACAGAAAATAATTGGTTAAATGGTTAAAAAGAATAAAAAAAAAACGAAAAAAAACAATCAAATACAAATCTAAATATAAAAAAAATCTCAAGACATCTTTACACAAAAACGATTAATTATAACATAATCGTTTGAGTGTGTTTTTGTCAGCTTATTAGTGAAGCTTTATAATGGTGAGAAGCTTTATTTTTAGATTTGAAACTGAACTTTCTTAGTTCTGAGGCGTTTGCAGGATCATACATTGAGCGATAACTAGACGGCACACACAAACGACTGTGTTGACTGTAAAATTTACAATATCCACCATCAAGCAAATACATTTGTGGATGGTTCAAGTAAGGATAGCATATACTGTTATTTTCCCTACCAGCGGTACGCAGGGATCGTAACCTACATAACAAACAAAACAGGCTTTATTAATTCATTTCTTTGGTTTACTTAAACAAAAGGTGGGTAAGTGGATGTCACTCTGCTGTACAGTAGGTTACAGTGGAAACTGTATAATGGATGGTATTAAATTTGTATTCAATATTATTATATCATTGAATATGAAAAACGATTCTGAGAGGTGACGGTTTGTCAGTGTGGATATATTCTATTATAAATATATTGTTATTATTTATTATAATAATGTAGCCGGTAAGATGAAATATTATTATAGAATTACATCAAAATAACTAAATTCGTTTTTCTTGGTTATTTAATATATAATTTCCTCCAAATTTTAACATAAAATAACTATAAAAAAAACTGTAAATTAATTCTTACAAAATTGGAGAAACTTATGAGGAATCTTGTATTGCATTTTAAAATCTTTGATTTGAAAATGAACTAATGATTTTTTATTCCTATTGTTTGGTTGAAAGCCGTAATGATAGGAACTACTAATTTGAATTGAAAAATTATTTTTGAGTTGGATAGTCCATTTGTCGAGGAAGGCTATATAACATCACGCTACTACCAATAGGTCCAAGCCGGGTCCAAAACAGCGACTTTGAGATTATTATTGTTAAAAGTGAAGCTTGACGGACTAATGATGTTAGCATTAATATAATAAGTAATAACACGACAATATGATTATGTATAAGTATAATATATAACAACGTACAACTGGACAATAAAACTGTGACAGTACACACATATCGTATACGCTCTGTACGACGACGCCTGTGCAAGTGAGTATTACATACGTCAAAGGCAATATATATATGCCCGATCGAGGTCATGTTACATCCGTAAAGAGAGTGAGTCTTATGCTCGTATATAACTAGTCACCTACTAAATTGTACACACGTGTCAAGGCTGACTACATATACTACACATTAATTGTATATTTCAACACCCTCCCTCAATTAATAATCTCTTTAATTGTAGTCACTCCTATGGCTGACCACAACTTCTCAAATCGTTCCTTAACCAAAGGCTTGGTTAGAATGTCCGCAATCTGGTCTTCTGTTCCAATGTACTGTAGTTGGAATTGTCCTTCTTCGTATTTCTCCCGTATGAAGTGGTACCGTACGTCTATGTGTTTTGTCCGCTTATGAAACTCCGGATTTTTAACTAAACGAGTAGCGTTCTGATTATCTATAAATAATACCAGTTGTTTGTCACCTGTTGTTGATAAGCTTGTTATCAACCATGTAATCCACAAGATCCCCTTGACAGCTTCACTGGCCGAAATATATTCAGCCTCTGTTGATGACAATGACACACAATGTTGTCTCTGCGATGTCCATGAAATCATGCTTGACCCGTATCTGAATAGAAATCCTAACGTTGAACGTCGTGTCTGAATGTCACCTGCTTAATCTGCATCGCTAAATATTTCTAATGACAATTTTGTTTTGTTATTAAAATACAAGCCATAATTAAATGTTCAATTGATATATCGTATAATCCGTTTTACCAAGTTCCAATGAGCTTTAGTTGGTTTTGCTAAGTGACGACTAGCAATGTTTACTGCATATGCTATATCTGGTCTTGTTACCTGTGATAAGAACAGTAAGCTACCTACTGCCTGCCTATAAGAAATATCTTCATTCAATATTTCCGTATCTTCCTTTTGTTCAAGTGTATGTGATTTGTCTATCGGAATTGAAAGTTCCTTGGCGTCCAGCATATTAAATTTATTATGCTACTTGCATAATTGGTCTGATGCACAAATTAAGAACCATTTTTCATTATATTTACCTGCCTACCTAGGAAATAATCTAAATTTCCGTTTTTAACCTAAAATTCTTTCTCCAAGTTTGTTAAAAGTTTATCTATTATTTCTTCATTGTCTGCAGCGATTAAACCATCGTCTACAAATATTGCCAGAATAATTTTACTGTTATAAGCATTAAATACACATGCATCCGCTTCGGTACATTGTAAACCAAATGCATTCAAAACGTTCTTAAAGCGTATATTCCAACATCTTGGACTTTGTTTTAAGCCATATAAACTACGCTGAAGCTTACATACTTTATTCGATCCATCTTCGTATCCTGGTGGTTGTACCATGTAAATTTCTTCCTGTAGTTCTCCGTACAGAAATGCTGTCTTGATGTCGAATTGTCGTAATATTAATTTTTCCATAGCTTCTACTGCAAATATCTCCCTAATTGATTCGTACCTGACCACTAGCGAATATGTTTCATGGTAATCTATACCGTATTTCTGTGAACAACCTTTAATGACCAATCTGGCCTTAAATTTATCGATATTACCGTCACTTTTATATTTGGGCTCATAAAATTCGAGGACGTAGAGATACAGGACCTGGACCTCGTTACAACGGCCACGGAAGTCGAAAAATGCATCCGCCAAGCGGTGGGCGCACACGCAGACGACCAGTGCATAAAAGTTAAGAGTATCAGACAATCCTTCATGGGGACCCAAAGAGCCACGGTGAAAATGAAGAGCATAGACGCCCACAAACTTGCAGAAGTAGGGCGAATCAAAATAGGATGGGTCTACGCCAGAGTGAAGAGGTGAACGTAGTGCAAAGGCTGGCACGAATAATGCCCAACATTAGCGCAGCGAAGCCAACCAAAAGGAAGCTGCTGAGCAACGTTGCCCACTCCATCCTACTGTACGGATCACCAATATGGGCCGAAGATATGAGCGTGGCGGGCTGGACGGAACTCCTCAAGGTGCAGAGGCGAATCTGCTTGAGAGTGGCCTACGCATACTGTACTACTTCAAGGGAAGCAATAGCAGTAATGACGGGGATCGCCCCACTGACCTGCTCACCAAAGAGAGGAAAAATCTACATGCAAATAAGAGGAACCCGGAACTGGTAACACCACCCACAAACATCATGGATACGTGGCAGACAGAATGGGAAAACAGCGAAAGAGGCAGATGGACACACGCCCTCATCCCAAACATCAGTACCTGGACAGGCCGTCGACACGGAGAAACAAACTTTCATCTGACCCAAGCACTGAGTGGTCACGGATGCTTTGCCGCGTACCCGAAAAGATTCGGGAAGTTGGAATCGACAGAATGCTGGTACTGCGGAGACACAGTAGACGACGAAATATCAATTTGGCACACGAGGAGGAGACAAGCGGAGATGACCATGGGGATGGACCTAACCCCTACGAGCCTGATTCCTACAATGCTCGCCTCAAAGGAAAATTGGGACACCATAGAGGCCATGATTGAAGATATCATGAGGAAAAAAGAAGAGGAAGAGAGAAGGAGGCAGGCGGCTCTACCAAATTGACGCAAATAATTAACCTTAGTTAAGCCTTGTACATTGTGAGCCGAACGGCTAAAAATTTTCAGGATGGTTAGAGGCCCCCAATTCATATTGTAAAAAAATAACTAATTGAATATGTTAATGTAATTTGATACTGTACATTTTGTTTAACAAAATAAATGATGGGGCATGGGGGTGAAATGACCGCAAGGTTAATACCAACCCATGCCTCGATACCACGTAACAAAAAAAAAAGTTTGTTAAAAGTTTATCTATTATTTCTTCAAAGTCCAGTAGTTCTCAACCGGGGTGACATGTCACCTTAGGGTGACATGGACCTAGCTTAGGGGTGACGCAGAATTTTAACAAGAGAAGAAAAAAAATTAAAAAAATTAATTTTTTCAAAAACAATCATATATTATTTCTTATAATAAATATATTATACACCTATACCACCACTGTCATGTACATGACATACCTCAAATTTCGTATCTTTATAATAGTTTGTATTATTTATATTTAATCTTTTAGTCCGATAAACACGTGTACCTAGTTAGGGTGACGCAGTGTTTGATTCTAGTGGCTAAAGGTGACATGAATCAAAAAAGGTTGAGAACTACTGGATTAAACCATCGTCTACAAATATTGCCAGAATAATTTTACTGTAATGTTGCGAACCAGATGTGAAGTTCGGTTGACAAGGTCGAATCAAATGAAGTAACACGTAGTCAAATAAATTATTATTATAAATTTATTGACCAAAGGTTAGTGGTTAATACTTTTAAAGCACTCAGAGTAATGTTACAACTTAAGACAAATATCTCTAGCATGAATACTGTCAACTAGTCGTCACGCAGAAATAGTGTGTCCGGTCTCCCTGCTGGGGAGCCTTTATATAGTAGACAGCAGTCAGATTACATGGTCCTTTACAAGGTCCCACTTAAGTATTCGCTATGGCTCCTCTAGTACTTTAGAAACTAACTTTTCCTTGTGGCACTCGTTAATAGTAATTAATATACTGTGCCACGTACACCACGCGTAATACTATAGTAATCATATTATGTTATTCCTCATTTTTCCACTCAATGAAGGTGGTCAAAACGTCCTGGATTGCAAGTAACCTTGTATGATTTAAGAGAAACCCGCTTCTCCGATTGGCTCTCACCAAATGCTTTGGCAGGCAGACCGGCGTTTGACTACCCTCACGTAATTGTGTGGTATGTTCGTCCTCGTGTAATGTATATCGGAGATGGTCCATAAACTTAACTAGGTCTCGTGCCGTGCTCATATTTTTCCCTATTAAATATTTTATAATGTAGTTACGTCTACTCTAGGAATTACTATTCTATGACTACGGTATTTTTGTTTGTGTTTATAAGCACTATATAGACTATACACTATCATTATTCCTAATATTATACATAATATTATAATTATTTTTGTATGCATACCACTGGTTGTTTTCAATATACTTTTATCTTTTTCCTCCTGGACAGCGCTTTCCAATTCCTCGATGGTTTTGAAAAAGTCACTAATATCGTTCAGCTTGACTATTGGATTTTGGTGAATAAGTAAACTGTCGAGTTTAGCGCTGGGTAGTAATGGAATTTTTACACTAGTGGGTATGTTCACTGGTGGAATGAAATCGGTATACTGAACGGACTTCAAGTGCCTGTTAGGTGTTAAGACTACTTGTGGTGTATGTGCCCTGCATTGTTCACTTAATGTTATTATACCTACTCCCCTTAGTTGTAAATTCTTAGCGTTTTCCCATTGATCGCAGGTGACAGCTACATCATCTAACGTGTTTATTGTATAAATCCACTTATTATGATTTTTCAACTTATGGTAGATTCTACGTGATAATTCTAAATATTTTATTGTGCAGGTTCTCGGAATTATCGTTGGCTTCATGAATAATTCAATTTCACATGGTAACCCCGCTGTTCCTAACCTGAGGGGTTGTGTTTCAGGACATAGTGTCATGCTTATTAATTCTTTACAGCTCATTAAATGGTTCACGGAAATGGTTAAATAGTACTCGTGCGTTTTTGAAATGGCCATGTATTCGAATTCGGGTGTGAGATGCATATATAGCTATTCTTTACGTACCGGCAATGGTATTATGTGGTATAGTGTTAATTCTACTGGGTTTAGTAATGGAATTACTAACTCGAATACGAGAGTTCCATTCATATATACTATAGCCAGTTTCGACGTCTTACTTAATTCGTAGAGTGATATATAATTTACATCAAAAGGTAATTTCAACTGCCCGGGCAAACTTATTAATATGTCCCGCAGTTGTATTCTTAATTCTATAGTGGATATCATACCTGAATGTATTATACCGTTTTGCGCTGCCGATATTATCTCACCTACCATATCTGTTTCAAATACTAATTGCTCCAGTAGCAGTAACAATGTTGTTATTAAATTGGTTGTTGTGGCTCTTATTTCTAACTCATCTAGTTGATACCATACGCGTTTTAAGCTAGTTTCGAGATTTTTACATGATATATTTAAGTTTCTAATTTGGTTTTCCATTAACTGCGCTTCCTTAAATACACTATTTGTTAACTTTAATATACTAGTTTGTTTATCAACTATTTTTAACATGCCTACTCTACTACTTTGGAGTTCCCTTATTTGCGTATTGTACATTTCCCCGTCCTCGTCGTCCAACGTTCCAAATAACGTCTTCTGTATATATCCTACTATATTGATCAATCCCCGTTTATCACGTTTGTTTATCTCCTCTATGTCTATAGACTGCAACATATTGGACCTTTTTCTACTAATTTCTTGTAATAAAGACGTGGAGGTTAATGCAAAGTTACCACAAGTGGTATTAAATAACTCAGGGCTTTATTTTTGTAGAGTTTCACATATTTTTTCTGTTTTGTTATAAAAATTAATTGTCTCTATATATCTATTATTATATTTGTCTAAATTAATATATATTAATAATTTCCAATCGGAATTGGTTAACCTTAGTGAACCTCGATTTTCGAAGTAGATCCCACTCTCGTGTGGAATCGTTGAAACATTGT